ATTGTTGGGGTCTTCTTTATCTCCTTTCTTGAAAATTGGTATCATTATGCTGTTTCTCCATACGTCGGTTATCTTGCCGTGCAAAATTAGTTTTTGTATAAGTTGTGTCATCTCCTGGGTTATACTTTCTTCTTCGTGTTTTAAAATCTCGTTGGTTATTCCGTCTGGTCCTGGCGACTCTTAGTTTTTGAGTGAATTTATGGCTACCTCTACTTCCTGAAAACTGATTTCTATTTTGTGTCTTAATTCATGTACGTTATTATGTTGATTATTATTTTCCTTTCGTTTAAACAGTTCCGTCAGGTATCTTTCCCATTTGGTTGCTGGTATGTTATTGTAATCCTTTATTTCTGCCATTTCTTTCCGTTAGTTTCTTATGAATCTCCGTATTTGTTTTTGTGTACCGTCGAAGTCGCTTTACATTCTTTTTTTTAAATGTTCCCAATGTTCATCTTACCAACTGCTATGTTTTGTTTCGTATTCTTCTATATGTTCTCGGCATTCTGGAGTATTTGTCCAGCCTAGAATCTTCTGTGGGTGGATTTTTCTATTAGTTCTATTAGTGACTAGAAAATCAATCATAGATTTGTGCCCCTTGGAGTTTTCAAATGTATATTTATACTTGAGCTTATGGTCAAAAAATGTATTATTGATTTTCAGTTCGTTGACACAGTAATATTGATTACTTTTAAGTTTTCAAGCATAAAAGTAGCTTTTGAACTGTTTTTTTAAGAAGTAATTATAGAGATAATCTTATTTTAAACAAATAGAAAAGCTAATATTTTTATTATAAGAAAGCAATAAACTTTAATAATAATTTGCAAAAAGAAATAGAAGCATTTATTGGTTTCCTTAACATTTTTGGAGCACTGCACACTGATATGGAACAAGTATGTGTGCAGTAGTATGAGCTACACTATCAGCAATAGATTCCAGCAGATTATGAGCTTTCTAAGAACTTTGAAACAACAGAAGAAAGGAAACGTATTAATTAGGGATGTTTTTATTAATTTTGTTTTAAACTGCAACAAATCATATAATCCATCTGAACACCTGTGCGCTGATGATTCGACCTCGGTTGATGAAGGTTAAACAAAAAATTGAAACTAAAGTGATCGAATAACTATCTCACTACCTGAACGTATACTTTTTGATTGCTGCATCATATAAATGAGTTTTCATCTAGAGTCGTCCCATTAGAGGATCATTTTTATAAGTTCCTGTAAGTTAAAAAACTAACAAAATCTCGTCTTAGCGTGATAGAAGGCAATATATATGCGTGTTATTCGAATTGCGGACCGTTTACATAGCATAACAACATCGACAGGAAGCAAGAGAACTAATGACATGCAAAACTCGGTTTAATATTCACGATAAAGAGGAGAGAGGATGTGACAGAGGCACTTTATGCATGCAAAATGAATTTTTATTATATGAAATCGCTAAGTTTTTGTGTGCTTTGCAATTACTAATATTACAGGATGCCTTTGGGCTTCTGTTTTGTTAAGTAGGGGAGTAAACAAATGCAAAAACGATCTATTTTATTTGACATTTCGATTTACACCTCGGAAATCGTATGTTGAGAATGATGTCTGAACTGAAACAACGTATTTTTAATCAAAATCGTGGTTTATTTTCATTTTAATATAGTATATGATATAGAAATGTCACAATAAAATGGCATTAAAAGCAAATAAAAGAATTAAATTAAAATATTTACAATTAAATATCTCTCACGTACAATTAGTCGCCACGCAAAGATGGGCAGTGATATTGTACACAAGGAAACACCTGGCGTAAAGAGTAAATACAATGAGATTAACCTAAATGGTGGAAAAGTAATAGAATTCACATTCGAAATGAATATGCGCACCGTGAGTACTTACTTCGACCACAGAAGAAATTCAATATCAATAGATGGGCAGAAAATTGATCAAATATACCATGTGCTGATAATTGCTAAACATATGGAAGCCATTAAAGATGGCGAACCTGTAGAGGAGCAGACACAAAATGGGGACCACGGTGCCAAGGAAGAAAAAGTAACCGGTTGAAAGTTACCAAAACCTCGTTATAGGCTTTCAACTCTTCAAAATAGGGCTGCCCCCCATCTTTTTTTTTTTTGTTGCATGGGGTCTGATTGGGGGGATGAAGAGTAATGTTGTTTGGGGCTGAAAGATGTGTTTGAAGCTGGGTTTTGGTTGATAGTTTGATCGCAATTTTTGCTCAGATGGGTGGTTTTTGCTATTATTTTATAATTTGTTTGTTTTCAATATTTGTATGTTTATTGGAGAAGGTTAAGTTACTGTTTTTAGTGCCTATTTCATGCAGTTACCAATTAGACGGTTTAAGGGTTATTAGGAACGACTCTTTTCAGCATTTTTGGCAAGTGAAGACTAATGCCTTATTTTATTGGGATGATTTCTAATATATTCCTGTACTCATCAGGCAGTTAGTTGCCTGCTATGTTTAGAAGCTTAGCAGGCAGGAATGAAACTTTTGTTTTTATAATTCTGAGTTTTTTTGTGAACCTCCTTTGCTCTGTGGTTCGAACCATTTATTGTGGAGAGAACGAATCTCTTTGACTTAGATGGGTAAGTATGATATCATGGATTGAGTCTATGTTTGCTATTTGATGGATTTATGCTAACGGAAAGTCGCGGTTTGTACCCATAAATCTCCTCAGGATTTTTCTTTCTGTAGCTATGAATTGATTGAGTTGTCTTTTGTTTGGTAGATTATAGATTCTTTTCTAGAATATAGAAGGTTTTATATGTGTGTAGAAGAGTAACTTGACTAGTGTTTCCAAATTTACCACTTAGTGTTGTTAGAAGTTTGGCTCTGTTTCTTCCCCTGTCAAAGGTGTTTTAAGTCAGCATTCCAATTGAGCGTCTTTGTGAATTCGACACCCAAGTAGGACACTGATGGTCTGAAATCAAGCCTTTCTCCGCTGAGCATTATTTGGTTTCGTTGTTATAGCTCTAGGCGGGAACATTTGGGAGTTCTGAATAGAGTGAGTTGAGTTTTTGAAGGGTTTATTGTTACTCTCCATTCGACTGTTTGATCGAATTGGAAGGAAAGTGGTTTGGGCGGAAGGTCCTGAGGAGAGTAGGGCTCAGCGTATAGCAGGATACTCTCAGATGTGTTGTAGGGGTTGGCAGGTCGTTGTTATAGACTGTATATAGTAATGGCTCGATTATTAGCCCAAGTAATCGGCAAAGTTTGTTTTCTACTTTGACTCGAGTAGTTCGAGCGGTTCGTATGTTATACTTGTTTCCGTTATTTTGTTCATTAAGTTTTGCAGTCCTTCTATGGTGTTGGGAAACACTATTGTATCATCTACATATCACAGGTTATTGAGCTTAACTCCATTTATTAAGATGCCCTCATCAATATCTTTTAGAGCCTCTTCAAAAATGTGTTTCGAGTACAGATTAAATATCAGTGGTAAAATTATGTACCCCTGTCTCACTCTCCTTAAGATTTTGACCTGATCTGTATATTCTTTATCTATTCGGAGCACCACTGATTGATTCCAATACAGATAAGCTATTATTTTTAGGTCTCTTCCGTCAATCCTGCCCTTTTCAGCGCTTCCATCATTTGTTCATGCTTCATCACAACTGATATCTCTACATTTCTGAAACAATACCTGCACGATAAATAAAGCTTCCCTCGTACCAACTGCGTTCACAAATCCAAACTGATTGGTCGCAATTTGTTCTTCGCATTTTCGGTAAATTCTTTTGTGGATGACTTTTAAAAACAGCTTCAGCAGTGGTTCATTGGGCTTATGGTGCTCTAGTACCATTAGGAACTCGATTTGAGCCACTCTACTGGTGTTTTTCCTGTCTTGTACATTTCATTTAAATATTTCAGTTATTATTTTTATCTGTTCTGCATCTAATAGCTTCAGCAGCTCTACAGGAATTTTATCTCGGTGGCTTTCCATCCTTAATTTGTCTGACGGTTGTCGTTATTTCTTCTGGAAAAGTTTCTCCAAGTATTCTTCCCATACTTTCTTTTTATCTTCTTTGGTTTTGGCAAGATTGCCTTCATCATTTGTTATTTTTTCGCTGTTGCGTTTTCGGAAGCTTCCCTTGTACCTCTATTTCTTGACATTGTTCAGTTTTGTGTTTCTCTTTGGCTTCTCATATCTGTCTTCTGACGATGGTATGTATTCTCTTATATTCTTGGAGATTTTCTTCGTTTGTTTTTCTCAGATCCATAAGGTCAAGTATTTCATCGGTCATCCACGATTTCCGTTTTTCTGTATCTTTCTCTTACTGATTCTTGTATCATGGTCAGACTTTCCTCTATACTTCCTGCATTTCTGCAGTTTAGCACCTTTGTATTGAGGTTTTAACTCACCTTCAGTCGAACATTGGGATTTTTCAGTTTTCTAACATCATACTTCTTCATCGACTTAATTGTAACCTTCTTCGTTCTGACTTTGAAATTACCTACAACTGGTACATGATCAGAAGTTATGTCTGTTCCTATACCTTTTATTTACAAAACAAAGCCGCTAATGACTATGGGATGTACAAATCTTTTATTAAGTCGCATTTTTATGTTATTTTTTATTAACTGCTTATACAGGGTGATTGATTAGTGTGAGGAAGCTCAGTAGATCTGTTATCAGATACGATTTTCAGGTAATATTGGTTATAACTTTTTAAATACCCGGTATAACATGATAAAACTTTACATTTTTATGATGTGGAAGTAAAGCAGATTTAAAATTTAAAATAAAATACAAGCTTATGGAACACCCTGTAAGATTGTAACTAATTTTAAAATGTGGAGTTTAAAGCTGCCTACAATTTTTGTCAATATTTTTTTTTTGTAATTTTTACTATAACAGATCAACTGAGCTTCCTCACACTAATCAATCACCCTGTATAATATCAATTCATAACCCTCAGTAAATAAAGGTTTGAGATAAGGATTTGGGGAAATTACTTTCTTCTATATTTTTCGATTGTTTTTCCGAATTTTCTCGAATATTATTAAATAGCTATATAAAGACCAGTTATTATTATAACGAAATATGTAGTTTAAACTGTAGTTTATAGAGCACAAATTAAAGCAATTGTATAACTACTAAAAAAAAGTGTAAATAAATCGAATCCTCAGTTTAATTCTACTTACAATATTTTGCAAATGCAGTACTTTCAACAGCATAGTTGATATTTGATCATACATTCTCACGTTACACCTTCACAATATTCGTATAAATATATCATCACATTCAGCAACACAGCATGCTCACATTATCGTTCATCTCGTCCACCTCTACCTCAGATTGTGCCAAGAACATGGAAATAATACTTCGTCTGAGGTCACAACTAAAAAATTCAGTCTGTGACAATGATACCACATTGTCTTCAAATTTATAGTACCAATCGTCTTCAATATGAAGACTTCTACGAGGAGAATTAAAAATATGAGTATTTATCTATGTTAATAAGACTGACCACACCTTCGTTCTTAACTTTCCTCAAGGGTGGGTTAAATTTACTAGCCAGAGGAGTGTCAGTGACGTCTATAATTTTCGGGTAACTCCCGTTTTGAAACATTTCTTCGCTTAGTCTATAAACTCCGGAGTTAGCTAGAGAGAGATAGACGAGATTCGTTAAGGGTTGGAAGCTGTGGTCAGCTATTACAAACATGACGTTAGAATTAAGGACTAGGTTTCTTAGTTTTGGTAGTTTAGTAAAATTGAGCTCGAATATTTGCTCTATTCTATTATCGCTTAAGATTAAAGTTGTTAAAGAAGCCGACTTCAAAAACGGCCTATTCCTAAAACGTATCTTATTAGTCGTTAAATCTAGTTTTTCTAAATTAGCATTAGTTTTAAAAGTATTTACGTCCAGTATAGTCAAATTGTTGCCAGACAAATCAACAACCTTCAGATAATTAAGATGCCGGAAGGCTCTTTGGTGTATTATTGTGATCTGGTTATGACTCAGCTGTATTCTATCTAGTACTGCGAATCCATTGTATGAGAAGATATTAGCAGATAAGTTAAAGATGTTGTTGTAACCATAGTTAACTGATCTGACTGATGGTGCTCCTTTTGGTATTGAGGTCAGTCCTTTGCCCATTTGTGCTAAGTATGTTGGTAGCTGTGTGGTGGTTTGCACTGGTTCTGGAATATGTAGTTTCGGCGTAGTTGACCTAAAAATATAAGTGGAATATTAGCCACATCCTGAAAAATTAATATAACCTAAATAGAACAAGAAAAAAGTAGTTCTAGAAAAATATAAATCTCAAATATATATGGCACTTGCAGAGACAGCGTGACAAACGAATAGAGATGCAGATACAATAACGAGTTAGAGTCTATATTCTGAAAAGAAAATTTAGTCAGATATATAAAGGCCAATAGACTCAGATGGGCAGGGCATGTGATACGCAGTAATGACAATCGTCTTATAAAGAATGTGTTCTGGGAAAGGCCAGATGGAATAAGATCTGTATAGGGTGGCCTAGAAAAAGGTGGAAAGATTCAGTCAAAGAAGACCTAGAGAAAATGAGAGTGCGACAATGGGAATTACTGGCACAGGACCGACAAACATGGAAGGCAATAGTAAAGGCGGCAAAGACTCACGAAGAGTTGTAGCGCCATTGATGATGATGATGATGATAAAATATAATTCAGGTAAGAAGTAAAGAAATTATAGTGATTTTTTTACGTTTTCGTGAGTGAAAATTCAAATTTAACCCCAAAATCAAGGTTAGTGGCGGATTAAAGGAGGGGTCACGGGGTCATGACTCCCCACCCCAAACAAAATTAAATATCGATCAAATAATCCTAAAAAAAATAATTTAAAACCCATCAACCCTATAAGCCGGAAGTCAAGAGTTGAAATGATTCAAACTCATTTATTCTAGGGGTAAGCGAAAAGAATACATTTTATAAAATTATATAATATTTACTCTTATTTTTAGAGTCTTTTATTCACTGAACTTTTATTTACTGTGAGAAAAATTTCAATCATGATCATAATCAGTGACGTTACAGCTCGTTATGAGCCAAAGCCTTCTTCAGAAGAATCTTCCATTCGCCCCTGTCTCTGGCAACTCTTCTCCATGCTTTAAGTCCGATGAATTTTAGATCATCCTCTATGTTATCTTGATACCTAAATTTTGGTCTTCCTCTGGCTCGTGTTCCCATTGGTCCTCTTCGGTGCATCTTCATCTCGCCTAATTACATATCCTATTTATCGAAGGCGTGCTAATTTAATACATTTTAAAACGCTAGGTTCCTCAAAACTTCTGTATAATTCAAAGTTGTAGCGCCTTCGCCACAAACCCTGTTCTTGGATTCCTCCATATATTTTCCTTAGAATTTTTCTCTCGAAACGTTTAAGCAGTTCTTGGTCGTTCTGTGTGAGTGACCACGTTTCTGACTCGTATGTTAACACTGGCCTTATTAGTGTTTTATATATGGTTTTGGGGCCATATGTGTCCTCAAGATGAGAAAATCATCAAAACCATTGAGGAAAATAAGAGTATGAAAATAATGAGACGCAAACTCACAAATGGAAATAAACAAATAGTCAAACTCAAGGATAGAAATGGCAACATGACATTAAACAGAGAACATTTGTTACAAATTGTGGAATCATTCTATGAGACATTATATAGCAACCAATCGACTCTAGATATAGTCGAATATCAACAGAGGAAGGTCCAAAATCAGGGTTCCGAAGATATTCCAGAAATCTCTTGGACGAAATTTACAAGGCTCTAAAAAAATGACTACGACTACGATTAAGAATGCTGAGAGGCTATGTATTTAACACGCTATTATACGGTGTAGAGGCCTGGACTCTCAAACAGAACAACATGAAAAATATTGAAAGTTTCGAGATGTGGTGCTACCGTCGAATGCTGAAAATTAGTTGGGTTGAAAGAATAACAAACTGTGAAGTAATACGAAGAATAGGAAAAGACCCAGAGATTTTGTTAACGCTAAAGCGAAGAAAACTCGAATATTTTGGTCACCTGATGAGAGGACATAAATACGCATTACTTCAAAATATAATGCAGGGAAAAATAGAAGGAAAACGAAATCCAGGCCGTAGAAGAATGTCATGGTTGCGGAATTTGAGAGAGTGGTTTGGCTGCACCACTAATGAACTCTTTAGATCAGCCGTAAACAAGGTCAGAATAGCCTTGATGATTTCCAATCTCCGATAGGAGTGGCACAAAAAGAAGAAGAAGAAAAAAGATGAAGAATAACAAAGCTCCGGGGGAGGACGGTGTCGTCACGGAAGCGATAAAGATAATAGGCTCAGTACTGATAGCCAAAATTCAAAAGCTCTTTAATCTATGCCTATGGAATCAAAATATCCCAACAAAGTGGAATAATTCAATAAGTGTACTCTTACACAAGAAGAGAGACATAGCAGACCTGGAAATATACAGACCAATCAGTCTGCTTAACCATCTTTATAAATTATACACCCGAATAATAACGAACAGATTAGAGACAAAGCTGGATTTTTACCAACCTCGGGAACAAGCTGGTTTCCGCCCTAATTACGGCACAAACGATCACCTGCTGTGCCTAAAAACCCTAATAAAAAAAACTAACGAATATAACCGTCCCTTGGCATTGATATTTGTAGACTTTAAAAAGGCGTTTGATACAGTGGAACTACCGTTCATCTTAAGAGCACTACAAGATTGCAGGATCGACCACAGATATTGTAATATAATTAAACATATATATGAAAATGCCACAACAACCATAAGTCTATAATCTGCAACTAATAAAATAAAGATAAAAAGGGGAGTCAGGCAAGGTGATACCATGTCACCAAAGCTGTTCATTACCGTTCTTGAGTATGCATTTAAAAGACTAACATGGCAACAGAAAGGAATATCCATCGATGGAGAAAGATTAAACCATCTAAGTTTTGCGGACGATATCGTGCTTCTGTCAGATAATGGGAGAGATCAAAGACATGCTCCAAGAACTGAATGACATACTACAAGAAACTGGGCTGGAGATAAATTTCGAGAAAACCAAAATGATGACCAATATGGTTCCCAGCGAAGAGATACAGATCAATAACAACAAGGTAGAATTAATCGATAAATACACATACTTGGGTCGTGAAATTAGAATAACCAGAGACAACCAAACCTGCGAGCTAAATAGACGAATCATGTTGGGATGGGCGGCATATGGACGGATGAGAGACTTTTTAAAACAAATATCCCAATTCACCTGAAAAGGAAGGCATTTAACCAATGCATCTTACCAGTCTTGACCTACGGAGCAGAGACCTTAACTTTAACGAAAGCTACTGCCGAAAAACTGAGGGTAACACAAAGGCGAATGGAGAGATCAATGCGCCTGACCTTGAAAGATCGCGTAAGAAATGAGGAGATACGCCGACGAACTGGCGTAGACGATATTATACTGCGAATCAATAAATAAAAGTGGAGGTGGGCTGGACATGTTGCTAGAATAGAAGACGGAAGATGGACGAAGAGATTATTGGAGTGGAGACCAAGAGCCGACAAGCGAAGTTGAGGCAGACCACCCACCCGATGGACCGACGACCTAAGGAGAATAGAAACAAACTGGATTGCAGCAGCTAGAGATAGAGAGAACTGGAGACGTTTGGAGGAGGCCTATATCCAACAATGGATGTGAAAATTCGGCTGGATGATGATGATGATGACGTCTCCTCAAGCCATTATAGCACTTATTGGCAAGCACTATTCTTCTTTTAATTTCTTCGCTGACGTTGTTGTCTTTGGTCAGCAGCGAGCCCAGGTAGACGAAGGTGTCCACACCTTCCAGTTCGAGATGATCAATTCATAGTCTAGGTATCTGGTTGCCTGATCTAGTATAATACATATACTTGGTTTTCTGTGCGTTTATTTTTAATCCCATTCTCAGTACAGACGCCCTTAATGATCTAAATGCTTCGATCAGAGATTCTGAGGACTTAGCAATAATGTCTATGTCATCTGCATATCCGACCACTTGTACAGATTTATTAAAGATGATGCCATTCGTATTATTACGACACTCTCGAATTACTTTTTCTAGTGCAAGGTTAAATAAAAGACACGTCAGTCCATCTCCCTGTCTCAGTCCATTATTACAATGGAAGGGGTACTTGAAAAGTCGTTTTGGATTCTGACTACACTCTCTACGCCTGTGAGTGTAAGTTCCGTTAGTGTAACAAGATGAAGCGGCATTTAAAATTCCACCATAGCCTGTAGAAGTTTTTGTCTGTTGACTGAGTCGTATACGGCTTGGAAATCTACGAATATGTGGTGGGTGTCGATTCCGAACTCAAGCGTTTTCTCAAGAATCTGCTTGACTGTGAAGATGTGGATTTGATACGTTGTTTATAATGGAATATCCAAGTAAATTAATTTTTGAAAGATTTTCTGATTTCTTGACTTTTATAAATTGAATAAAATAAAATCGACGAATTAATTCTATCTGTGATTATGTGTGATATGGTTTATTTTAGCAATTACAAGGTGTTTGTTTATTTATTTTGAGCGTAAGTTGTAATATTACAGTATAAATATGATACACTACAAGTAGTCAGAAAATTTATATCAATATTTTTGTTACGGTAACAATTTCACCATTATTTTAATAATGAATGCGCAAATTACTTCATTTCATTCAGAATTGTAGTATGAATTGTTCGAATCGGCTACTTTTCACAAATTCACTACGGAATTTCATTCGCAAACAATATTCAAATTTGATTTCGACTCATTCTTATTTATGTAAATCGATCGGATCTATTTCCATATATGAATGAATATGATGGGCTGAAGCGTGAACAATAAAAAATTACAATTTTTATTTCAATAATATCTAATGGACAATGTTACTTGGCATTTTTTTGATTTGATCTAATTTCTCGTCACGGCCCTGATTGAGCCTGATGGACTATCATTAGTTTCTTAATTTCAAAACTTTTGGTATAAGCAGTAAGCATTACTTAGTGGATTTTAACGAACAACTGAGTATTGACGAGAGCCTAGGTAAAGAGATCTACTGGTAAGTAAAAGGTGGGGTTAGCACAAGGAGGTGGAATATTTGAGACCTTAATCATTAATCTGCTTTCCTAATTGTTATTTTTTGTTAGGTACATTTTACGAAGTTTGTAGGTTATTAATTAGGT